CTTTGGTTCACCACTGATGGCACTGTGACGGAGAAAGGTTTTGCATTAACGATCAGAGCAGTCAAACCAGGTGAGTATCGTAGAAGTGTGAAAAGATCTTGTTTGTGGGTGCAATGATCAGGAACGATTTGCATGTCGCATCAACACGGCTAACCCCTTATTGTGGGACAGTTGTCCCTGGACAAGCTTACATTAAGTCTTTTTACATCTTCATGTAGGACATTTTTACACAAACAACTACTTTCGGAATTGTCGAAGGACAACTATCCCCTTAGAAAATCATATATGCGGTCACTTTAATAGATAATGCATCCCTGGATAAGGGTATGCTCTTAACTCCAAAGATTCCTTTTGCCGAAGTTCGTTATTCTGAGGATTTTGTTTATCGAATAGACAATCAAAGAATTTACTGTATCCAGGGGTTTATTAGCCCAACATAAAATGAAGATCGGATCTTTCATTGTCCGAATTGTTAACCAATTTTTTTTCTTCAAAATTATGATACTATTTCGTGAAATTGCGAGCCCTCGGTTTAAAGAATCATGTAGAAAAATGAACGCATAAACGGATATTTGTAACTATGAACCTTCGTTAAACGAGTTAGAACTTGGGGGGGGGAGGGGAATGGCGACGCTTTCCCCTTGAACTATTAAAGGGATTCGATGCCTGAAATTAAGTAAAAAGCATATGTTTGTCTTGGCTGTGATTCAACGCTACCTAAAGAATGAGGATGTTACTGTCAGATTTGGATTTGTGTGATCGCGCCCAACAAAATAATGTTCCAAAACGTAAAATTGGACCTCACAACAGAGTTTACTGAGGAAGCCGCTAGAATGCTAAGTCATATACTGCAAAATGCAATACCTAATATCAAAACCTGGATGACCAGGTACCCATTAAAGTGTCAATTAGAACACATATTTAAAACAAACCAAGTCCACGGAGTAATGCTATGGTCACATTACCCAAAAGTAGCCTGCTCGGCGGCCGAGCGGCGAGTTTTTAACCAATTCTGCCCGGCGGCTGCCCGGCCACCGAGCGGCGACCGGCCAGTCACCGCTCGTTGTTAGGGCATCGCTCGGTCGCCGCTGAAGTTTTAGCGCGGAGTTAAAATTTGGGCGGCGCCTGCCCACTTTTCACTCGCCGCCCAAAATACGCTCGGTGCCTGGGCGGTCGCCGCCCGGGCACCGAACTAATCGCTGGGCGATGCCTAATTCCAGCAGCGACCGAGCAGGCTACTGATCGGTCGGTCGCTGCTCTAATTTGTGACCATAGCTTAAGGGTCGAATGCATGAACAGTCGTATAGAGTGTTTTTTTTTTCTTCTTTTTAGTTAGGGATATTGACTTTGTTTTTATATCTCCTTTCCCAAAACTAGTCTTTAACAATCACCTGCTGAATTTCTTTGCCATATTAATGTTGTATATGAGTTTTATTATAGTTATTTTTTTTTACAGACTGGGCTTGCGATTTCGAAGAGAATACCTGTGGACTAATAATCAACGAAGGAAGCTGGATCATCGGAGAGCAGGCGAATTATTGTTAGTATATTAACACAATCAGATTGCGTTAACTTGACAAGGTTGATGTGTATGTATTGTATGATTGCATTACATACAGCTTCTATTTAACTTGACAGGTCATCAAGTTATTGCAGAGACGTATGCCTGTTTTACCTTTCTCGTTCCACGGATAAACTTTTGTTTGCCCTTTAAAAATCCATTACTGGAGTGAACTCTAGTCTATAAGGATTTTTTTAAAAGATTTAGTAAATATGTCTTCATGTGCAAAGATAAAATTCTTTTTTTTTTTTACAAATTTAACATAATTTCAAGGCTAATTACTTTCAATTGCTAAACTTTGTCAAAATTAGCTTACACATTAAGAAAGAAAGAAATTCGTAATGCGTTTTGGTCAAGAACATTGGGGAATATATTTCTTTCCATTAGAAGTCAAAATGTGTTTATATTTCTTAAATTAAGTCAGTCATGGAGTTAAATTGGTATTTTTCAGCTTTACGTAATTAAATTTGTCTTTCATTGAAACGATTTCAGTATTTAAAATCCTTTTGTAGTTCACCGTTCAGACGATTTTACCATGTTGATATCGCTAAAAGCTATCACTGGTACTTAAATATAATCCATTTATGATATTAAGCACGTAATTGAGGTTACCATAAATTATACAATACATGTACAGTATCTAATAGTGCTCGTGTATTATGTCTTGAATTGTGGCCAGGGGACGAACCAGAAGAGGAGGAGGTTGCGTGCCTCATCTTGGGGGGATACGCTATTATTGCATGATCACTTACCACATCATCAACCACGTAAAGGTTTTTCACCTTAAACTTGTATTATTGAACACACTTTATTATTTGGGTAGGAACTAATGTAGCAATACACCATGTACGCGTATTTAGCTTCAAGTGTACGTGCTGCCTCTTTATAGACATCCCTGGTAAGCTCCGAGGGTCGGGGTTCATCTCCTTTTTCGTTTTATTCTACACGTTATTTTGTTAATATATTTGTTTCGTTGTTTATTTCTCTCCCTGTCTTAGATTATATTGAGGCAGATAAAAGTGCGTCCAGTTTCACAATTCCCCATGTTTTCACTTCAGTGGAGGGATCGCTCTCGTTTGGTCTATACCAGGGATCTGAAGATAATGGATTTCTCAGTGTGACAGTGTGCAACAGCCGAGACCCCTTATCAATTAGGATCCCATTTGGACGTGATGTATATACATATATACAATACTCTTGTAGCAGGATCCAAGATATAGAGGTGCTAAAGAGATTCATGGATTTTCTTTCACACAACATAATGACGTTTTCACGTTTGTGATCCATAGAGATTGGGATATCTTGCCATGATCAAGGAGGGAGGGAGAGGGGGGGGGGCGCAGTCGAGAAAGCATTATTTTTGCGCCAGGTATTAGGCGGGTATTTTACCCTTTCCCTACACACACAGACACAGCCACCCAAAAAGTGCACATTCCTCCACCGAAAGAGAAAGAATTTGCGTTATGTAAATTTAAATTTGTATTGGACTCTTTCTATTAGGTAAATCCAAGTCTCATCAGGTGTACGCATCCCCCCCCCCCACCCACACTTTTTTTCTTTCTCTCTGCAATTCGATCGCCTGTCTGATTTTCAAGATTTTTATGATTGGATATCGAAATTTCATTTTGCGTTTTCCTAACGGTTTATATAACACCACAGTCTCTTGGGAACAATGAGTATGGTAAAACCGGTCATTCAAAGATTTTTACTTTTTTAAAGGAACTTCATGATCATTTTAAAGCGCACTTTGTTTAGGGTTTTAATATTACACCATATCACAGATACGGCCATGTACCTCATATTTAACATTGTTAAACAATGCCTGCCTTCAATGGGTTAGACAACTTCAAATCAAACTAAAATGTCTTATGACGACTTTTGAAAATTAAGGGGCGCCCTCTATGTCCATCTTCTCATTATAAACACACACTGTCGGTTCCACCTCGAACCATATTATTGTAATTATGCATTAATTTGCTCTCTTAAGTAGAAAATAGACCCCTGTCTAAATTATAGCGGCATTTTACAAATTGTTTCGCTATTTTTTCGAATGACACTTTATAACGTAAGAGAGTATAGCTACCATGCTGGTAGTTGTGTAGGTTAAAGAAATTCTGCATTTTATTAGAATTATTATTATTATTATTTTATTTGGCATTTTGTATAACAAATAACAAGTAACAGACAAAAGACAAACAGACAAACATAATACATAATACATAATACAAAGAGTGTGATGTATCATCTAATATTTTTTCTTACATGTTATTTCAGGATTATCATCGTCATTTTTCATTCTGAAGTAGACGATAATGTTACTCAACACAATACTAATACTTATCATATTTTTTTACCTCAGTATTAAGGAGAGATATTTTTAAGACTACAATGTCATGACTGTCACAATGGTTTATTTAAGTAATTCATTATAATTTGCATTTATTTCATCCCCTTTTGTTAAGGTAAAATTCACCGAGTCAGGCTCACAATTTACAAGGATCAGCGTTTTTGATATACAGCTTTATGAAATATCGGGTCCTTACACAGGTAAATGAAGTTTTGACATGAAATTAAACGATATAGAAATCTGACTGATATCTTTATGATTATAGATATATGATTATTTATTGTAATTTGTGTTGTTATTACTATTATTATTATCATTACAACATTAATTACAACCATCAATAGTATTAGAAGTAGTTAAAGTAGTAATACATGTAGTATTATTGCAGTTTTAATGTTTGTTGATGTTGTTGTTTTGCAGCTATTATTATCATTATTTTCTAGATGTAGAACAAATACAGAGTTGCATAATTATAATTGGTAAATGAGCATTCTAATGCATTGAGAAAACAAAACAGTAGTATAACTTTTCATCTTAAGAAATATGATTATAATTTTCAATGTTTGTTCAAATTAATACTGTTGTTTTTAACTTTCGTCTAAAATAACCATTTTTTCCCTCAGCGGCGGATTAAGGATTTTCCAGTATAAAGGGGGGCCTGAAATTTAAAAATCAAGCCGACCGATATTTCACTCAGTGGGGCGGGAAGGGGGGATAGTGGATAGGGGATCCATCACACACTGTACTGAATAATAATTATTTAATGAATCTTTGACTATCCTGATGTTTATTTGCAATTAACGTGCAGAGCAAATGGGAAGGAATAAATCAAACATATTTCCCTAAAAATTATTTGTCCGTCTTATTTATTTAATTCAAGTTCCAAATTTATTATATTCATTGCATCTTTTAAATAAAGCGTTCTAAACCTTTTTTCGACGACGAACGATCGAAAAGTCGAAATAATCCTTGAGTCGTTTACTACTTTAACCATTTTAATATATAAAACAGTGACTTCCGAAACTACAACTCAAAACTCTGTTTCCGAACAATCAACTGGGACCAGTATCGTACTAAACGCATCGACTTCGGGTGGGATATCGACTCAAAACTCATCTTTAATTCCTTCATTGTCTTCGGTCATTGTGTTAATCCTGGTCATCATGGTTATAATAGCTGTCTTTGTGCTTAGACGCAGGAGGTATGTAGCATGCTTAATTCAAATATAAGAAAGGAAACATAGACATATCAAACACATTAGCCTATAATAACTATTTCAACGGGTGAAAATAACAAGTTTTCACAATTGAACAACTCTTAAATCTAAAGAAATGTTCATAATCTACAAATCTCAAGTTCTGTATGCAAAGATCTGAATTGTAACAAGTAGCAGCGATTGCAATGGTGTAGCAACCAAAATGTTTTCATGTATTTAGAATGTGGAACACATACCTCAAAAGTATGGGAAACAAAGATGAGGGAAGGAAAATAAAAAGAAATTTATCAAGAGATTTTTTTATTTTTAATAAACAAGACGAATTGAAAGGGGAAAAAAGGGATATAAAAAGAGAAAGGCAGAGAAAACTCATAAAGGGGAAAAAAAGAGAAAGTTGGGTTCGTTGGATGTTGGTATTCGGAACGATTTAAAATGAAAAGGAGGCATACAAGTCAGACACAGAAACGTAGCAATCAACGTCCTATGAAACCCGACACGTCCATCATTTTCTTCAGTTAAGAGTAACTTTTAAGGGGGTATTAGACCGGCAGGCTAGAGATCCACATCTTCGGTCAAGTTTACTCTCGAGAAGGTGACAAGAAGACCAATGAAACTGATATTGTCGGTGTAGCTGGCTTTGATATCCATGTATACGGTCTGCGATCGTAGATTGTCGATCAGTGATTTATCCAATGCAACATTGTCTTTAACAGGTTCCGAGATCCGAAGGTGACTGAGCCAGTGGATCAAGAGGAGGACGACCCCAATTTGTACAACAACCCAGTCTACTGTTCTAAAGATGACGGTCTTCCTGTTCCAGATCTTATCATCAGTACGAACTCCCACACCGGCAGTGTATCCCAAGCACGGCATCCGTCAACTTACATGGACAATCAATATGAAGAGTTTGAAGGCGATCATCACCCTGTAACCAACGCAGATGGTTCTGCATCACCTCATGATGCCCTTAGAGACACCACGTCAGAGAGTAACACGTTGAACTCGACCCCATATTATACACTCGCAATTCCATCCAATCAGGGTGGAAACAGTAAGGCCCTTGACGAAGGAGAGTATCATACTTATGAACAAGCCCAAGGACCACACACCTCAAATAAGCCCGGTAAAATAAACGAGGGACAAACAGGAACCGATGACGTTTATCAGGAGTTGAACAGTACGTCAATATCAATGGATCCATACTCTTCCCTTGCTAGTCCGAACAGCGGCTTGCCCAAGACAGAACTGCAGACTGGTGTCAAACAGGGACACTCAGATGGTCCTGCTGTTCTCAACGATGACGAGGAGTACAATGCGCTTACGTTTAATCAGTCATCAGATATAACGCGGGCGATGAAGAAACCAACGTCTGGTGATGAAGGTGTGAACAATGGGTATGGTGTCTTGGACCTGGCAGAACAGAAAGACTCCAAGCTGTTTGTCAACTCTCCCCAACTTCACAACGACGATGTGTACAATACCCTAAAGGAGGGTCCACAAGAGCAACAGAACAGAAAACAACAAGCTACAGACCAATCTTCCGGATACCAAGCTCTGAAGCTTGGACAATCGAACATTCCAATATCTCACCAAGGTCTAAACCACAAGATGGAATCTACAGATGATGGGTCAACTGGAGGATACCAAAGTCTTTCACCAGGCACCAAAGGTCCAGGACCCAAGGCAGGATCATACAAAGGGGATCAGCCGGGTGATGAATCAGAATACCATGGCTACCAAGACCCGATGGAAATGAACCAGGATGGATCAGCTCGCACACCTACAGAGCTGGACGTCTTCTCAAGTAAAGAGTACAATATTCTCAATTCTGGGAAAGAAGTTGGAGATTATCATGTCTACCAAGCGACGGATGATACTGGTGTGGATGAAGGGAATTACGAAGATTTGGACCCCAAGACGAGACGTGAGGATGAATATTCTGAGATAGGTCAGAGTCAAAACCACGCACCCGGGACAACAGATAAGGCCACTTTCGAACCGATATATAGCGATGAAGTGTATTCGGAATTTCAGTGAAATTAGGGCAGCCATAACTAACACCTTTGGATGATATGTAGACGCGCTGTAATGACAAAGGTCAATGCGTCATTGTTAACACTGTATATTATGATAAGCGGACACTTTTTTTCTTTTTTTGTCTCGAAATTTCAAAATTTGACTTTTTTTTCGTTGGGGGGGGGGGGGGGTAAGGTCACCTTTTTAAGGTTAGTCGTGGGTATTTTTTTTTTTTTTTTTTTAATAATTAAAACAAAAACAAAAACAAAAAACAAAGGGGGGGTTTGAACCCCCCCCCCCCCCTGCGTACGCCCCTGGATAGGCTACTACAATAGGTTTCCCTTGTTGAAAAACCAAGCTTTGTACATATAGCACTAAACTAGGAGATTTGAAATGCACACTATATCGTAGACCCTATTTTACGTAAATTATTCAGGACTAGCGATTTACATGAAACAAAATATGTCCGGTGCGGAGTGTCCATAAATATTTTCCTATACGTGCGAATATCGTCAGCATATGTAATTTCAAATGTGAAGGTGGGTGCGTGTGAGTGAGCGTGCGTGCTTAAGTGTGTGTGATTTGATGGCTGTGTGGATAGTTTGTATCAGGAAAAATATGCAGCATCCTTCCTTTGTGATAAAAATATTAATTCTGAAAAAAATATTTAAGTACAAGGCTTTTCATATGAGTGATACACTATCCTGAATTATAATAGCAGACCCGTGTATGAACTCAGTAACTTGTATTAGCATGTATCTGTTTCGGTCGTATTGTTTATACATTTCCAAGTACCTCGATTACCTTTATTTCAAGGAAATTAATGTACTATGCTGTATATAAATGCAACGACATTCCCATTGTATATAAGGATTGTAATTATTTCAATTGATAATTTCTAAGAAAACTTACAACAAAGATTTTGAGGCGTTGTTAATTCAGTTTTATAATTTCCATACAACACTGTTCCTATTAATCGTTTTGTCACCATTATCATAATGGCACCTAGCATTGGATAAAGCCATTTCGCATTTGTGAGTTTTGTTTCCACTGTAAGCAGTTTCAAGTGTATGGGCAGGAGCGGCACTGGGGAGGGGCTGTTGTGCCTTTAATCTCGTAGCATGCACTGTCAAATTTGAACATAGTCTTACCATTTGTTTATTGCCCTTAGCGAACTTGAAAATTTGATCATTGTGGGGGCAACGCGAAGAAAAGTGACATTAATACGATACATTATGAACTAAATGTTTCCTTCCCTAAGGATCGGTAGCGATACAAAAATTAACTTTATTAAGAAATATAACCGGATTCATACGTGAGTGTATAAATTGTAATTATTGCAGAAATTTGTTATATTCGAAATGAAGTTCATGAAATTTAATTTTAAATTCTGAACGTCGGCAATTCATTATCATAAATTGTTGTAATAATCGGTGTCATGTAATAAATAATCACTTTTTATCAGCTACTGAGTATGAATATGAGTACAGTTCTGATGTTGAAAGTTCTTTACCTTAAAGGTATTACAAAGTTTTGGGAAATTTTGAAAATTGGGTGGATATTGATTCTTTACAATTTTGATATATTTGGATGCCCCTGTGGATGTATTATAAGCACTAGAAATGTTAGCCTCTAAAACACTTCTGCTTTCGAGAAAAATTGAGTATAAAAATTTACCGGTGCTCCCGGTAAATTTTGATAAATTTCAAATAGCGCCTACGGCCGGGCAGTGGTAGCTGCGCCCATGAAAATCTCAGAAGATGTAGTTGTGATACATAATTTCCAAATGGGAATAGCTAATTGGACGATTTTAGTCAAGAAATATTGTTTGATACTTAATTATTATCTTGACCTTGAGAGGGAGCTATACAACATAAAGAGTTTATTATTTACAATTTCATAACTTTGGACTCGATTTCAACCGCGACAACGATCACTAAATATTGTAGGATCGCATATGCTTCCAATATGTTCATTTTAACCAAATTCATTACCCTTTACCAAAGCTTTGTGTTACCTTTAAAGGTGAAATTCAAAGAAGATCACAAATATGTCAACTAATGTATCACTAGAAACTGGTAAGCTAACAGATGGCCATCGGACAAGTTTTAGGTCAACTACATATCGGGTGATTTATAAAAAATAAAAATACAACCACCTCCATAGCAGCTGGGATATACGAGAGATTCGCCGGAAACATAACGATGTTTTAATGACGTCACTATATGGACCAACACTGCCCAAGCAGACGACATCCCATAGAGAATGAACATAATTTCAAAGCTATTATTTCTCAAATTATAATGAGTTTAGTGTATATAAATGTAATGGCATGTCAAACCATTCAAAAGGGGATATGACCCGATTCTGATAACTAAAATCTTTTGCTTGTAAATACACAGGATAGGGGTTAATTAACAATCAAAGAAACCAGACTTTCAAATTGAAAAGCCCCGGAATGATATTAAGGAAGGCATTTGTTCCCTCTTAAACCGCCGAACATACCCCGGTGTGTGCAGCTGAATATACAATGGCGTCTTATTTTGTTTACAAGCAACAGATTCCTTTATTTTTGTGTCGCTGCATTTGTCATCAAAATAAAACCATGCGCGGGGTTTAGAGTGAGGCAATAGATTATACATTTAGCCTGACGGTAGTGAAGTAAGAGAAAGAACTCAAGAGAAGATGAAAACATATGCACTGAAAATGTGTGAGATGTCATGGGACATCGTCTGCTTGTGCAAGTCAAGTCCATACTGTGATCTCACACATCTCAGCAGCGTTCGGAGAGCTCTTCAGGTGCTATGCCGGGGCCGTATTTAAGCGTTTTGTAATTTATAATAATCATTACTTCGAATGTTTCCAAGCATTGAATTTTGATAAACTTGTCGAATCAAAGTTTCAACTTTGCAATAATGAAAATAAAGTTAGTTTTTAAAATCAATAAATATCTACTTTAAGGAAAATTGTCATAAAACATACAACATTTTTCTATTGACCTTTTACCCATATCTTGATGAGAAGCAACTTCTAACTGATAGCAGGTTTTTAACAGTGATTAAATAAATAAAATACAAATACAAAAACAATCTGAATGTAACAATCCAATCACACCAACCGCAAGGACAGACCAGATCCTCCCGCACCGTTAAAACACACCAGGAACTCTACCTTTTTGTAAAGAAGTAATCATAATCACACAATTTGTATTAAACGCAATCGTTTTAATATTTGCACATCGCAACAAGCAACCGATACGAGACTAAATCAACTCAATAATTTTGCCACGGAAGACTGGTGAACCATGGAACGAGGCTGAGGCCTAGAATGACGTCATTATCGTATTCTAATTTAGCTTCACCTCGTTACTTTGAAACCCCTCCTATTGTAAATATAAGTACAACATTTTGTCTATTAACAGTCCATTTAAAACTCCTTTTAACTGATATATAACAAATATGTGCCTATGCGCGTGTGTGAATATGTGTTCGTGTGTGTGTGCGTGTGTGTTCGCGCGTGTGTGTTGTGTGTGTGTGTGTGTATGTGTGTGTGTAGCGAATGGTGGATGTGCACGTAGCTCTGTGTTATATGGTGGACTAGAAACAAATGTAGCTTTTCTATTTTCAAAAGTCAAAACTAACCTATTCTTAAATAGACAACTCAAAGATACTTTATACCATATGAACATACGCAAGAAAAACTGCCTATGAAAACTAATTGTGGAAAACAAAATTGATATCTAACTTCACTCGCTAGCGAACATACATGTAATGACATCGATATCAAAATCATAACATCTACGCCTTAATTGGGACACTAAGGTTACATTGTATTTTGCCGTATAACGTCTGTATTCTTTCGTAGGTTCTGTGATTTTGTTTCTGTTGGTGTTATTTAAGCATAATACATATTTCAAAATAATATTTGTTGGCAATACAGACTGATATATATGAATAGAGACAAAGGGATATCAGTTTCTTTCTTTTTGTAAGCTCAATTGTTCGTTCAATAATCTTTAGGTCTTTAGTCACCATTATCAGCGTTCAATGACAAAATAAATAGGAATCAAATTCCTTTTATGTAAGCCTAATAGTCTTTTGTCAATGTCGTCAGAAGCAATGACGATTATGTTTGTTTAGGCTCGATGCTCATTTATACTCTACTCATATTGTGTTATCATGCTCAGACATGTATGAGAAACCAAGTAATATTGTTTACCCCCACCCCCCCCCCCCCATGACCACGTATCGTTTGCTCTCAGTTGCTACTAACCCAGCATTCAGATCTGCAGACCGATATTTATTTTGTCGAGTTTACTTATAAATAAAGTGGTGCTGTAGATCCAGTAGTTTCAAATAAGGGGGGAGGGGTAAGGGAATCATAAGTGCGATGAAATACAGATTTCTGTCAAACGGACTATTTTGAAGTTAGCAAATGACACAAGATATGCAAAAGCCATGGAACATGAACAAACTTTTTAAACATGGAGAGGTGACACTGCGAACATTTTACAAAAAACTAATTCCTCCCAAATTGATGGTGATGCTTGATAATTAACCCTTTTACCCGCTGCAATACGAATACTTCCACCTGTGTGTTATGGAATACTTGAATGCTTGCTTTCTAATTGAAATAAAATATCATGCAGTATTCATTTCCATGAGAATTACATTTCTTTTGTAGAAATGACCTTTATACCGTCATGTGCAAATTAGTTCTACGGGTTTATGTAATACTCGCCGATCACAGGCCATCGATTTTATACCAGTGAGTTCCTCTTTGTGCTAGTATACCAAGTTTATATTCAAGTGGCAGAGTTGCTATAAATAAACGAGGAAGTTTACAAAGAAATCCAGCGTTCCGTCATGCCCCAGTCACACAGACCATACACTCGTGCACACAAAGGGGAATTGGCAGTCTCCCCCCCCCCCCCCCAGGCAGAAAAAAAAAACCTTTTCGAGAAAAATGTAAAGGGAAAGACAGATGTGATGCTTAAGAAGACTATTGAAAATGTCCACTGTATTGTTGTCGTGTGTTTTTATTTTGTTGACAGTTATGGTCGTTATACATGTATATTATATATCTATATCTGATGGAACAAAACTCC